TCTTATTCATTTTACTAAAAAAGTATATTGAAAAAAAAATCAACCTTTTTTTCCCCCCAAGTGCAAAACAATGGCGTCTCTACACACTATCGATATTTTACTATTTACATTTTTCCAACTTTGTTACATTTGTTGGCACGTCAGCTGCACAAAGATGTTCCACCATGCTGAGTGTATCGTCCAACAACTTGCTCCTCTGTTCACTGTTTATGAGCCATGCTGCATTTATTTTTATTGATTTTATTTTCTTGTTAATCTCTCTAATTTGTTCCCATACTTTTCTCCTTTCTGTTCCACGTGAAACACAGCCTGCAGTTCAGTCGAGAGGTTCCTGAATTTTTGTTGTGGGACTGCGTGGGGCAGAATTTTTAGTTTTTAACAGAATTTAACGATTATCTGTCCTTGTTAGTTATTTAATTCCGATTTATTTTTGTCCCTTTTTTTGAAAAAGAACCACACATCACACATACTTTCTTAAAGAGTCATCAGAAGGCTGAAAATCTCACAATTATTTCTATTTTTACAGTTTCTTGAAACTGGTGTAATTTTGGTGATTTTGAAAAAAACATCTGACATGTCTGTCAAGGCTGCCGGCAGGTTTTAGGGTTCAGACCTGCATTCTGTCTAACAGCCAGCAGGAGGCGACTTCTCTGAAGCCTGACTGTATAGAAGTCTATGATAAAATAACAGACTTCTCACTCAATTTACAACCTCAGTTAACATTTTCCTGATGTGTTTGTGGTCTCAATCAGTAGTTTCAAGTCTTCTTCAATACAGCATCATGTTTGTTTTGTAAATTATGTTCCAATTTAGAGGTAAAATGGCAACTGATTTTTATTTTTAAAAGTGCTTAAAACGGGGGAAAACAAAACAACTGAAGTTAAAACTGAGTGTTTTCCATCCTCAGATCCCAACATGTCCAGACTCGGAGACTCCTTCCTGAGAAAAGGGGAAAAGCTCCGTCAAAGCCTGAGACTCACCTCCAAGAAGGACAACGATAAAGCCTCGAAACAGAAGCCACTGGGGCTGGTTCCTGAAGGTTCGCTGGCGGAGAAGAAGGAGAAAGAAGAAGAAGAAGAGGAGGAGGCGAAAGAGGAGATGGAGGAGACGTACGAGCTGCCAGAGATACCTCACGCACCGCTGTCAGGTACTTGTTTCTTGTTTCTTGTTTATTAGGATCCCCATTAGCAC